ACATTATGCTATTACTCACTGCTAGGAAACAAGAATATCCACTGACTGGTCAGTGGAGGGTGTTGACTGAATAAGATGGATCATTTTGCAATGTGGTCATAAAGCTAGGAGGCTTAGCATCGTGGTGAACTTTGATGGATGTTAGTTGATTGCAGGTGTATCTGCAACCTCGAAGGAACTAATATTCCACTTTACATTTGAACCGGCATTACCCGGTCAGCGTTCAGGACTAGATGACATGAAATGAGTTGCTTTCCAGTGATCGATCATTTCATTCAATACAGTCCAGCAAAAAGCTGTCACCGACTGCAACAATTGGTGACGTGGTTTTGAATCTCAGGTGGGATACCAGTTCCTTCAAGACTACAGATACCTCTTGATGGTGAGTGTCAACTAGCGTGAAACCAAGGCAAAATACGCCTTCTTGCCGATTACACCTAACTAAATAACATCTAGAATGTTCCCTAAAACTAACTACACGTTAGAAAACTTAATCACTATTATTTGTATTGTTGTTCCTCTTCAAGGGATTTCCAATGTTCCATCTGTCTTTCCAATTCACTGAGTGTGTTAGTAATGCTGTTACACACTCAATTTATCGTATGAATTGTCTGCTTTGAGGTTCGATGGAAACTGAAGAACTCTCAGGATATTCATAGCGTCAGATAATCTGTCATTTAACAGACCTAGTCACAAGATAACTGATCTTTCAAATACCATTAGATGAAAACTTAAAAAACTCAGTATTCAGTGGTTGTTACTCAACTACATCTTGGTGTCATTTAGGTTAATCATTAAACTGGCTCATTTTAATTTTTGTAATGATACTTTCTAATTCTTTAGGTAATGATTTTGAGTATTCATTCTATTGATAATTGATGCTACACACTCATTTGTGTCATCCTTGCTTACTTCTTTACAAATCTGGCAAACTGGATAAAATCTGTGATGACTGAAGTGAAATAAAAATCTGGTCAGTAGTTGAACCTCGTGGCTCAATTGGTTCGAAGACGGCCGCGGTTCAAATTTTCATTTCACCTTCAATCATCATCCAGTATAAATCTGTAACTGCAATATATATTGTTGAGCACCTGATAACCACGCTTCACTAGATACTTTAGTCAACGTTATCTAAGACATTGGATAATTCAACTTGAAGTCAATCTGCATTCGTCAAATGTGTATGGCAAAGACTTCACTAGAATCAGTCGGTTAAAACCCTTAGTAAAATGGTTGGACAAGAGCAAAATTTGAACACTGCGTTAAGTTATTTTATTCCATTCAGGTTCTTCGGTTAGACACTTCTACGACACACTGACAAGTGAAGCAGAACAGGCTGCAAGTAGGAAAGGCAGAGACTTGACAACATTGTATCAAATAACCAGGTTGCTATCTGGGAAGAGATCAACACACATGAAACCATTAAAAGATAATGAAGGGAATCATATTAACGAAGAAGAGAAACAAAGGAAAGGATGGGCTGACCACTTCGAAAAGATCTTGAATCGACCACCACCTGCACTTCGTCCAGAAATACCACCTGCGGGCACAGAACTACAAGTGGACAAGAATCCTCCAACAAAAGTGGAAGTTCTGAATGCCATAAGGCTACTGAAATGCGGGAAAGCAGCAGGACCAGATGGAATAGTGCCACAAGCACTGAGAGCAGACGCGGGGAAAACAGCGGACATGCTCACACCACTATTGCAGAAGGTGTGGAAGGAAGGGAAGGTACCTGCCTATTGATTGGAAGAAGGGCCACCTTGTCAAACTCCAGAAGGAGGGAGACCTCGGTGTTTGCAAGGACTGGCGTGAAATCACGCTCCTATCCACCCCAAGCAAAATATTATGCCGCATCATCTTCGAGAGACTAGGGGATGCGCTGGGTTCAAAAATACGACCGGAACAGGCTGGCTGGCTTCAGGAAGTACAAATCATGTGCGGGCCAAATTGCAATGCTTCGCATCATTATAGGACAGAGTATAGAATGACAGTCAACTCTCTACGTCAACTTCATCGACTTTGAAAAGGAGTATTTTGTCAGCTACTACTTCAACACTACGGTTTTAGTGTCACAAGCCTTTATCAATCTCATTCAACAGCTATATGAAGACGCCACATACCAAGTGATTCACAATGCGAAGCTCAGTGATGTTTTTGAAGACAAGACAGGAGACAGGAGTAAGACAAGGCTGCCTACTATCACTCTTGATATTCCTGATTGTAGTCGACTGCAGCATGCAAAAACAGTGAGGAGCTGTGAGAAGAGGGGGATACGCTGCACCACGGAAAAGATCCTAGAAGATTTGGATTTCACCGACGACTTGTGTCTAATATCTTGTGACACATACTCGAAGATCCACAGGCAAAAACTAACAAGTTGACAGAAGAGGTGGGGCAGGGCATGGAAGACGGGACTTTCTCCACGTGAACGTAGAGAAGACACAAGTGATGAAGATACCCAAACAACAATAACAACAGCAACAACAACAAGCTCCAATCACCATCAACGAGAGAAACCTAAAGGAAATAGACTCCTTCAACTACCTAGGCAGCACTGTTTCAACTACAGGTGGCGGCACAGTAACAGACGAGGAAATCAAAGCCAGACAGCATCGGAAAGACAGCAAGACAGGTGTTGATTAATGTGAAACCAGTGTGGAGATCTACCCCACTGCACTATGCACAAAACGTCAACAACATCTGGATCCGGATTTTCAACATCAACCTCAAGTCAGTGCTGCCGTATGGTTCGGAGACTCGGAGCGTTACGAAGGTGATTTGCAACAAACTGTAGACATTGATGAAGAACTGCCTACACTGACTGGTTACTGAAGATGAGATGAGATGGTTAGAATAATAAGAATGAGCGTGAAGGAACTGAGGCTGTCTGGCAAGCTGGCTGGCTGGCAACGAACCAACCAAGAAGTTATCGCTCAACAAATATGCAGAAGAGGAAAGGGAGATGGATTTGTCATGCACTGGGAAGGCCGACTGAGGACATCACTCGTCAGGTCAGTTGGTGGAGTGAAACTTCGATGGGAAGCGATGAGTTTGGCGTGTGAGATGAGGGTGACATGGAGGAGATCATGTGAGGAAGAAATGAGAGCTTGTGGGCTGTCGTGGAACCAGGTTCAAAAGATTGCAGGGAACAGAGTGGAATGGTGACGTGCTACTGAAGCCCTATGTTCCATTAGGAACCTAAGAGAAGAACAAATTATATGTAACAATAAGTTCTTCGGTTGTGTGTGACATACAGTAGAACATAGAACTAAGGAAATGAAAATGAATATTTTAAACCACTGTGACCTTGACATCATTTTTTTTATTCAAAAAACAACCATCAAAGCCACCTCTTTAGTAACTGCCATTATACCGAATAATCTCTGATTCTCATCTCACAATTTAATCTGCACTTTTAGTTGTTTTCAAAGTTCAGAAATCATTTTTACCTTATAAGTAACCATATAAAAGAAATTGCCATAAATTGACATAAGTACAAAGATGAATATACATTTCTTTCATTACAATACGTCTCACCAACACGTCACTTATAGTATTACAAATGATGTTGTCTGGATTCCCGTGTAGGTTTGTACCGACTTTTGTCGATCCTACTAAAAGACTGTACACTTTCGAAGACTATTCATACTCACACTTGGTAAAATCATTACTTTATGAACCAGTTCGACTGACTCATGATATATTCACCAACCCACTACCTCTCTCTAATACTGTCCAATATAAATAGTCAGTGAGTGAAGTGTAGTTTAACTGACTAGATATCAGCACACAAAACTTATCGATTTCATATGTTAGGGTGAACCTTCTCCGATAATAATCTCGGATTCAGCAAGGTTGTAATTTGGACTATAATTTTTTTCATTGTTGGATAGGTGCCAACTTTATTGAGACCAACCCTTCCTAGTTGTTGGGGAACATTCTCAAGAAATGAAGTGGTAACTGATGGTTATTCAGCAATACTTACGGGTTACAAACATATCTGAAGTTGCTAAGGTATATTTGAACGATATCCACATCAGACAGGAAGTGACTAGCATTGGCAATGTGCTTTCGAAAATCAAAAAATCTTTTCTCACTTATAATCAATATAGCTAGCTATAGGTTGATATGGTTTGCACTATCAATCTTATCGAATTTGAATTGTCAGAATTTATCTGTTCATCGCTTCAATATTTCCTTTGTCATAATATGTTTATTATCTTTTTACAGACTTACTTCTTGAAAGGATTAATTTACTTTGTTCTGTCACTTCAGTATCAATAGTTGCTTAGCTTCTTTTCGTGTCACAGGCAGACGTTAGTGCTCATTAGTGATTTGCTTCCAGATGGATATCAGGAAGCTCTAATGAGAAGCCGTGACTTGTGAGGTCAACCAGTCGGAAGTGAAGTGGATGCTAACTGAAGACTTTGGGTGATAGTCGTACTATGTCGCGAATTGACAGAAGTTGGAGATTGTGAACCACTGGAGACCGACCCAGTGGCTGAATGGTTAACGCGTTCGCCGTGAAACCTGAAGGTCCTGAGTGCGATCCGTAGCTGGGTCGTGGGTGCGTGCTGCTGAGGAGTCCCATACTAGTTGGACGAATGAGCTAGCTGTCCAGTGCTCCCAGATTTTCAATGGTTCCCTAACTGATGTCAGTCCATGATGAATACTACTTCTAAATTAAAAAAATCCCCATTCATCTCAAAAATACAGAAGTATAAATGTTATCCTAAGTATTTTGTTTACAACTATCTGACGACACTTTATCGGTCTTCTCATGGAAAGCCAAACTTGAATAACACCGCTTAATCAGTCCTAAACGATCTGACGTTGATTTGACCAAGAGTATAAAATTATTCAATGAATTAGTATGATTAGACGAAATATGCATTTTGGATTCCACTGCTAGCCATAATCCATCAATACCATAACATTCGAGGAATGTTCCATAGTTTTGAAAGATCATGTGTTTTTTCAATAAAAAAAACACTTACCAGCTAGCATAAGAAATATGCCTATAAGCAGACGCCAAAGTTGAAAACTTCTACTCTCTATATTCTTTTTATACCAGACGATGATTAATGCAAGCGCAGTGATAAAGCATACACACATGATGATTATTCCAATAGCATGCATAGCCAGCTGAGCAAGACGTAAATCTATACAAAAAAGATAATACAAAAAAAGTGTAATAAGCCTTTGTCAAGAACTAAATTGAAATCAGTCATCTCATACAAATCATCGATTGACATACTTTGAGTGTTCATCAGTAAATTGTCTTAGAGTGGGATTTCCTAGAGGTAGAATGAGAAATCGTGACCCATGCCATCAATCAAGTCAAGTATAAAGAAAAATGACAAATTGTATCCGATGATGGCCAGCCCAAGTGAAGAACTGACATGAAGAAGTAGGAATATATGGACCATAGGATTCCAGCTAAATGAATGGATGGTAATCCATTCTCTTTGAGACGTGATGTTTATGAGTTCTTCCTCTCCTGCACTCATAGTTGCGTACTTCTGATAATTCCCATTACTGCTATTATCATTATTATTATTATTATTTGTCCCTTGGGTTCCTAGTGGAGCATAGGGTTTCACTAGCATAAAGCCATTTCACTCTCTTCACTACAGTCTTTTCAACCTGACTCCATGACTGCCCATTAAATTTCATTTCTTCCTCACACCATCTCCTCCATGTCACCCTCGCCTCGGACGCCCAACTCATCGTTTCCTATTCGGGTTCCACTCGAGGGTCTGGCCTGTTGCGTGATATCTCCAAATAGTCTTCTCAGTGTATATCCAACCCAATCCATCCATCTTCATTGACCATCTGATTTGATCTTAACTATGGAGTGAACGTAGGCGGCAGTTGTTGATATTTGTCTGTAGTTTGTCGGAAATGGTTTTCGTAACGCGCCCTCTACTATTCCCAAGGTCTTCAATGGGTCTCCAATCGATGTGAATTCTTGATAAATACTTTGTAGAGAAGTTCATGACAAGTGAAACGTGTTCTTCAATACTAACACAGTAGCAAGCCTTCTGCTTTATTTGTATCAATAACTTATAGAAGCTATTTCTTGTCTCTTGATAATAGAGGCAGTGTCATATGCATTTCATGTATGGTAATATTTCTAATATCTGATACATATTTAACTGAGTCTATACTCATGAAGAAACAAACACTGTAAGGTCGAAACTAATTCAGGTATTATCTTCTGTTGTAATCTTAAAATAACAATGCTGCCTGGTTTCAAAACAACCAGTTACACTGACGAAACATAAGCTTACAGAGTATTCCTTTCAGCCTTAGTACTGCCTTTTGATCATACTGACTGTTTGATTTAATGCTAAGGACCAACAATGGAGATAGGAAGAGCAACGCTTCGTTATAAGGAATGGAATTGTCTTCCGACTATGCCTACACTCTTGTTGGCATTTGTTCAAATAAGTTTTAACGTGTGTTCAACTGTTTCTACACTGATATACTATTATCCTTTCTTTTCTATAGTAAGATTAGTAGTAAAATCATTTCATGATTGTCTACACTACTAGGAAATCTGACTTTACAGAAAACTTCAACTTTCTTCTATACAAAGTTCAAATTAGGATTATTGTGTATCAGAAATGTGAAACTGTAATTCACCATTATGTATAGACAAAATAACAACAAGAGAATACACAAAAAACTAACTTGTCATAAGACTTGAAAAGTCATCGACCGCTAAATTTGGATCCCGATACTGACATGTGTTATCTGTGTAATCAATAAAAATGATGGTATAAGTAATAACAAAAATTTAAAGGTAAGCATAATATGTATTATATTCACATTAAATTATGTTATAATCATACTCAGTAAAATTCTATACAGCGTTTGGATACATGAGAATTGAGTTCAGAGTCAATATTTTATATCATATTTTTTTCATCAATAATAAAATTAATAATTATCATTGATCCATCAAATTAATGCTGGATTATAAGAAGAAATACCACTTTCATTTTCTGGTTGTTGAACTCAGAAGGAAAAGAGATCTCTGTCTTCTTCAGGTCAGTTGGTGGAGTGGAACTTCGATTGGAAGCGATGAGTTTGGCGTGTGAGATGAGGGTGACATGGAGGAGATCATGTGAGGAGGGAATGAGAGCTTGTGGGCACTCATGGAGCGAGGTTCAAAAGATTGCAGGAAACAGAGTGGAATGGAGGCGTGCTACTGCAGCCCTTTGTTCGATTAGGAACCTAAGGGATAAATAATAATTATTATTATTATATGCAATATCTGCAGTCAAAACATTATGTGATGAAGTGTTCTACCGCGTCTTTGCTACCATAAGTTATGCATAAATATGAAGCGAAAACTACATTTCTGTTTATCAAAGAAGGATTATAGTCTAATTTCGAAATTAACTGAATGGAATTATTATTTCTCATCTTAACTGGACATCAGTTGGAATATCTTGGTTTGTCTACTCATGATAAGTTCATGGCTTAAAATATGAGATTCATGTTTGAATAATGAGTGTTCTTGTTGATCACCTGAAGCTATAAATCACTTGAACAAATCACTAACAGTGGTTCTCATAGATGAAACCAATTCAAATCTTCACCATATCCTGAAACACTTATCACTACTACATATGCATTAATAGTCTCTGTATTATATTATAAATGTTTTGACAGATGAACTTCATCTTCAGTTGCCATTCAAAGATGAAGTCATTCACATTACTCAACACTACAATGAGTGAGTTATGGGATTTTTAACTTAGTAGTAACGATCAGCAGAATTCGATCATCATGACAGATTGACACTGTGTACTAAGCAATGATCAGGTAATGTATATGTCATCTAGTCAAGCAGAAGGGTAATCGTTACTTCACTAGTTTAGCTGTAAAGTTTCTGATCGTAGCACTGAGTACTGAAGGTTCATATAACCAAGGGGAAATGAATTCCATTGAAGCTGTTGACGAATGCTAAGATACAAGAAACACAGGTTCACAGCATCTAGCCAATATTCTCTAAACACCTGATACCAGTGCTCAAGTAAGTAACTCCATAAGTGAGTCATATACCGTCAAACCTTCGGGAGATTATCAGTCTCATTAAGGTTGCAGATACTGCTTAATCATGAGTTATAACAAACCCTAAATGGTGGAAGATCAGGACTTCCTGACCACTAATTCCTAACATTTGGAATACTTCTTCAAGCTTAAAAAGTATTTTTCAAAACAGAACCTGGAAAAAGCACATTCAATAATCAGTGTTCATATCTTTCTCCACCTACTCTTAAATGCTAAACTTCACTGAATCTAGATTATTATATCCTGATCATTACATCTTAACTTAATCTCGGTGAGTTTTATTATCAGATTATTAAAGAGACATGAATGTGGGGTCAGAGAAATAGGTGAGAACATCTAGACTTGTCACACCATCACTCTCACTAGACTTATGTAGAAAATAACATTATACCGTGCAGTAGTCGTAGACATGACTCTCATGGAGTCGCTTGCTCTATGAACAACTATCTACAGAATTGTATTGCATATATAAATCAGTTACTCATCAGTTTACACCTTAGTTGATTTTTAAGGCTAAGCATCTAAATAAACTACCACATCAAGATTCTGTTTAAGTGGATAATTAAAAGTTGAAGGAAACAATAATTGACTTCGATGTTTGGTAAACACTAGTGCATAGACTAACTGTCAATTTTCAATAAATCTCTAGATAACAATATGAAATTCTGTTTAAAAGTGATAATGAAAGTTGTGTCGATGACAGACATTTAGCCAGGTGGTCTACAGTTCCAAAAGATGTGTGTCCTAAACATCCAGGCTTCCTGTCAGCTGCCTCCAACCAACTAAAACACTAGATCTCTGTCACCATGTCATATCAACCGAAAAGGGATAAACTTGAATCTCAAATGAATGTCATTGGTCATATTATTTTATGTATTTTGAAAGTCAACTTACTTATTACTTAGATAGTAACATAATTGCATAGTTCAATTAAGGAGCTTTCGAATTAGTCCTCAACCATTTATTTATGATTTATATTACGGAAATAATTGCTTGTTGAATGTAAATAAATTATGGTGCTTTGTAGTCAGTTAATTTGTATGCACACATGAATCAGATCAACTGAAGCGTACAGACAACAAGCACTAGATTTTGTGTTGTGTTTTACGAAGTTGCACGAGAGGACTAGAATGGCATGACTCATCGTATAGGTGAATTGAGTAAACGAAACTGGGTAAGTATATTGAAAACTAAGACTGAATTGACAGAATCATATGAATCAGAAAATCATAACTAGATGATCCAGTGACTAAATGGTTAACGTGTTCACCGTAAACCTGAAGATTCTCAGTTCGAATTATAACAAATAGTCGAAGCGGTTAACTCAGAAATAAAGCAAATGATTTACATCATTGTTTCATGAAATACTTCCTTACGTTATGCAAAGTTCAAAGTCGTTATTTAAGACCAATTATCCAATGACAGTTTCACTAAGTGAATAATTACGAAATATATGTTAATATATGAAATATGAGATCACTTGGAATTAGTGTGGCTCATAGACCAATAAATTCCCTCTAAACTCTACTCTATTATCCAGATTAAAGGATGCAATAGTTGAAGAAGACAAACTGAGTATCCTTTACAAAATCAACTGTGATAACTTCAGTCAACACTACATTGGACAAAGTGACCGCCCTCTTCGCCTTCGTCATTTACATGAACACCAATTGGCTATTAAACACCACAACATTTCATCACTCATTTCAATTCATGTGGATAACAACTATGGATATGAATTCATTTTCCACAATGTATGAATTTTGGATGGAGAGAGGAAACACAAAGAATGTCAGGGTATTCCTAGAAGCTTGGCATTCACGTCAGTCAGCAATCAATAAATGCATAGACATAGATCCAACCTATCAACCAGTGAGAAAGATAATATACCTCAGAGAGGTTAGAGGTGAAGCAGAGGAATAGCCAACAGGAAAATCTATACAGTCAGTCAATGACACAACAATCAAAGGGAATAACCAATCACAAATCACTTCATCAGAGCAAGCTACTTAAATTACTCACGAAGAGATACTGACAGTATACTTCATACTGAAGTTAGTACTGTGGATGATGTCGT